GCGGCTGCGGCGGCACTCATTCATTGCCCGGCCGCGCTGCTGCCTCCGCCGGCGTCCCCGCTCGGCCTCCGCTCCGGGGATTCACCTGTCTCCGCCCTGCCCGGGTCACTGAGCGACCTGGGAGCCGGGGAGGCAGGAGGCAGCTCGGCGGAGGCGAGGGAGCTTTTCCAGCCGCTGCCTCCTGTAGCCAGCTGCATACTTGAGCCCGCAGCTCCTCAGCCGCGCCTCCCCTCCTCCCCGGAGCGAGGCAGAGGCATTTATTTCTTAGTTTCCGAGTGGGAAACAGCCCCACCCCAGCAGCCTCCTCGGGAGGTGGGGCCCTTGTGAGGGGCGGTGCGGTAGGCAGTGAAAAGTTGCGAGCCTGTCGTCGAGACCCACTTTTTTTTCGTACAGTGGAACGTCGTAACGCTGATGCGAAAACTTTGCACCGAAGAGAGCCTATAAGAACTTTGGGATGGATGTTGGCACTGGCTCAGGCTCATTCCCTGCATTTCAGATGTGTGCAGTTGGCGTTTCTGAAAAACCATAAATGCATTTGTGTTTGTAGGGGCTGTTTATGTTGTAGAGTATGTGCTGTAGCCTTGGCGCTATAATTAATACATTGTAGCATAGTTTTCACTTGGTGTTTGGCGTGGGGGTGTTCCTTTCAGGCAAACGTTTCTTTGTGAAAGAATTAACTGTACTTGGCCAAACTGAAGACTAAAATTTTGGAAGATGTGTGTGGAAACTCTCTTAACGATCATAGGATCATAGTTTGTGTCACTTTTTTTGAAAAGTAGCGCTCTGAGAAACCAGTTTTTCTAGAAATAATCATCCTTATCAAAGTAACTTTGATTTTACCAAAAATACCCGTGTGTGTTAGAGGTTGAATATCGCTGAGCTGCCTAGGAGGCCTTCGAATTTGCAATCCTCCTGCCTCAGCCTCTCAAGTGCTAGGATTTCAATTCATGTTGAATAACAGAAAGTCACATCCAGTTCTACACAACTCTTAGTTATCCTGGCGTTTTAAGACTAATTGAACTCATAAGTGGGGGTTGTAGCATAATTTTAGAAGAACGATAATCTTTTTTTGGATTCTGGGGATTGAACCTATGGTCTAGCCCATGCTACACAGGCGTCCTACTGAGCCACACCTTCAGCCCTTATTTCTTAGACCTTAAACAGGGAGAAGTGTAACATAGCTTTATTACAACTTATCTCGTAGGCCCCCTTACTACTTTTATGTGGTGCTGGGGATTGAACCCAGGGCTAAGCACACGCTGTACTACTGAGTTATACCCCAGCCCTTCCTCTGCTCTTCGTATTGAAGAAAATCACGATGAAAACTTGAGCTTACCAACAACACTCATAAATTGTCTGCCTACTTTTTAACGTTTTGTCTTATTTGCATTCTCTGGCTGTTTATTCATGTATATGAAATAGAAGTAACCTGTTGGCCTAATGCTTCGTTCCTAAAACAGCATCTCCTAAGAATAGACATTGTAACACTGGATGTGGTGGCACATGCCTGTAATCCCAGCATTTGGGAGGTTGAGGCAGGAGGGTTGCTGTGAGTTCCAGGCCAGCCTGAACTACATAGTGAGACCTTGTCTCAAAAAGGGCGGGGGATGTAACTCAGTGCCACAAGCACCTCTGCCTGGTAAGCACAAGGTCCTAAGTTCGATTCCTGGTATACCCACCGCCCCCCCCCCAAAAATAGACATTGTGATGTATACATGCAATACCATTAGCAGTCATTCTCTGATATTGTCTCATTTCATTTCGTATTCAGACTTTTCCAAGTGTTAGCATTGTTTTTAATAGTTAAACTTTTAATTTTGAGATAACTGTAGAGTGACAGTTTGTGAGACGGTTTGTACCCTTTACCCACTTTTCCCAGCACTATGTAATGCTTTGCAAAACTTCCAGATTATAATCATAACCTTGATAATGTTCGTTTACTTAGTTATTTTTGCGGTTGTCCAGGCAGAGCTCAAACTTGTGATCCCCCAGCGTCAGCCTCCCAGGGTGCTGGGATTATAGACCAGTGCCACCAGGCCCAGCTCTCTGCTGTTCTTACTCAGATTTTCCCCGTTTTGCTTGTATTCGTTTATGTGTATTTAGTTCTGTGCAGTGCTGTTAAGTGTGTAGATTCTCCTTCTACAGTCAAGACTCAGAAGAGTCCGGTCAACACAAAGACTCCTGTGTTATCCTTTTAGATCAACCTGCCCACCTCTTTCCCATTGTTTATCCTGAACCTCTAGCAATCACTGCTCTTTTATTTAGTCATTTCAAAGTGTTTACTAAAAAGAACCACGCAGTAGAAACTTTTTGGGATTTTTTTTTTTTAAATGCAGCACAATTCCCCTGAGGTTCATCCAAATTGTTGTTTGTATCTGTGGCTTTTTTTTTTTTTTTTTTTGGTTTTTCTCCGGTACC